CGCTCGGCCCCCCTCCCTCCCCTCCCCGGTCAGCCACAGCGGGGCCTCCCCTCTGTCCCGCCACCCATGACACGTGGAGGACCGCCGCCTCCGCCTCCTTCCTCAAACCGAAACGGTTGTCCACCGCCGCCGCCGCCATCACACACTTCACCCTCGAAATCCTCACACAACCTGCCTCCACCCATGCCACCGCCTCTCCAACAGCGCCCCCTTGGACCTCCACCTGTGACATCTTTACCCATCAGAGGAGGAGGAGGAGGAGGAGGAGGAGGACCACCACCTCCTGCTCCTCCTCCCCCACCGCCACCTCCTCCCCCACTGTCTTTAGATTTCCCGCCACCACCACCTCCGGCATCGTCCGGCAGCCCAGTGACGCCTGCGCCTCCGTCTGTGGGTGGAGGAGACGGCAGAGGAGCGCTCCTGGACCAGATCAGACTGGGAAAGAAGCTCAGAAATGTAAAGAAGGGTTTCAGTTTTGCGATGTTTTGTGCCATTTAAAAAAAAAAAAATTTCAACGCAAATAACGAAATGTCGTCCCGTGACCTAGGTGACGGATTCTCCCGACTCAGCAGCGCCTACGCCGACAGACTCCGGGGAGGGCATCGTGGGTGCTCTGATGATGGTCATGCAGAAGAGGAGTAAAGTCATCCACTCCTCTGGTAAATACTCTCATAAATACTGTCATAAATACTCTCATAAATACTCTCATAAATACTGCAACAGTACGCGGTCGTGTTTTCATGCTGGAGTTGCCAAAATACAAACGTCTGTTTTCTCCTCAGGTGAGAGCGAAGATGACGGAGAGGAAGAGGATGATGATGATGAATGGGATGACTGATGTGAAGGTTACGGGTTAGTGTGTGTTGTCAGTATTATGGAGTTAATAAGTAAATAAATAAATAAATAAACCGAGTTCTGAAATGTTTTCTGTATTTGTTCCAAACATTTCCAGTGTAGCATTGTTCAACATGACAGTTCACATCATCATCACAACAACGGTGAACGCTGGCTCTGATTGGACGACACTCGGCCCCACTGACCATTTAGAAGAAGTAAATACAGCTCATCAGTCATCACCGCGAGTCGGAGCCAGCTTCAATCTCGTTACAAAAACATACTGTACATGAAAACTATGTTCCTGCGGTTCTGTTTTTTTTAAAATCACATACACGTGTGCATAGACTCCCTCCCCCAGACTGGCCCCCCAACACCCCCGTCTAAAACTGACACCAAAAAAAAGTGCTTAATGGAAGAACACGGACTGCTAAACACTAACAAACTGTAGGTCACTACAACAGAGGTGGAGCTAGAGAGGGGTTTTTTTTTAAGGTGGACAAAGTTGCGGTGTAGGTGCGGTTCCAGCAGGGGGCGTCGAGGATTGATTTAGGGTGTAACCCTCACCCCTCCCTCAACATAGACTACTAGGACTGGCTCCAGTCCATTTTCCTTGAAAATATGTTTTTTTGGAATCTCAGTGAAAGAGAAAAAATATACCCTCTTGTACCACTAGAGGGAGCCCAGGTACAACCACTGGTACGCAAACAAATAGTTTGGTTCAGAAATCAAATAAATAAGGCGGATACGACCAATGCGACCTATTTAAACAACAGCACGTGAACAACTGGCCCCGTAACCGTAGCTTAGACCGTAGCCCCGCTCTCGCCTAATGTTGCGATTAGCTCCACCCATGTCAGCAACGTAGAATTTCTCCAGCAATCACTGGTGGAATTTTGACGACGGGATTTAAAAGTATTGAAAAAAAAGTTAAGAAACGTTTTCTGTTTTTAAAATTAAAAACAAAAATTAAATAAGGATGTTTTTTTTTTTTTTTACGATGCTAGCTTCCTACCCCGCGCACCCCCGCTAGCACCACCACTGGACCAAAGAACAGAATAATGAAGTCATTACATGACGACATCAGAGGAAGTTACCGAAAAACAAAATACACGTCACCTCACGAACACCTTCACACACCAACAGAGCAGTAAAATGTACAACGTTTAACCAGCGACAAATACCATGAGCATGCGACACCTGGTAACAACAATAAACGACAGAAAATACACGAGAATCCAATGACCATATATTATATATTCACAATCAATATATTACACTTTTGTTTCTAGATACATAAAAGGACCGGAACTGTGGTATTTGCATGTTTTTAGCCCATTACCGACACCAGCGGTTTCCAATCACCGGGTCTCGGACTCGCACAGGACCGTGGGTCATTTGGTACCAGGCCATGGAGAAAAAATAAATAACGTGTTTTGTTTTGTTGTTTTTTTGCGTTTTAATGATTATATGATGACCTGCTGTGAGAATATTGTCTTATGTGAAACCGGACTTTGACGCTAAAATGTTGGTGACCTTTGACCTTCGCCACAACTGCTTAAATTCCAGATGTTGACGTAGAACATCAACAAATGTCTAACATTTTCAACCTAAAATTTTTTTGGGGTTTTTTTTCACGTCAAATTTACAGCTTACACTGTGAGTCTGACTTGGATTTTCTTTTTTTTTTATTTAAGGAAAAAAAAATTTCAATGAAAAAATCTGACATCGTAAACGACGTCCGTAAACAGGTTATACTCACAGTACATGCTGTGATACTATGATTTCTTCTGCGAAGAGGTCAAAGGTCATAATGAAGTGTTTCAATATTTGGGACCAACAGCGGCCAAACCATAAATAAGGTTCTGGAACGGGTGGAGGCAACAACCGACAACATCCATGTCAAACATAAAAGTCCACTTCAAGTCCAGACAAACCAGTGTTGGACAGCGTGGGCGTCGGGTCCTAGCCCAGACCCTGGTCCAGGCTCTCGGTGTGCCGGCGGTTGGTGCGCTTACGCTGCTGCTGCTGCTGTTTGGGGCTGAGCTGCTCCCAGTAGGACTGGCAGTACTGGTTGATCAGTCTGATCTCAGGTGGGAAGGGGGTGGAGACCAAGGAGGATTGTGGGTAAGGAGCGGCGTGGTGCGTCTTTGGCTCCTGGTCTTCGTCCTGATCAGTCAGGGCCAGAACAATGTCTCGGTCCAGGATGCGCAGCGCCACGCGGACCACGGTGTGTTTGAAGTTGTTCTCAGTGGCCAGACAGTGGTAGAGGCCTGCGTCTGATTGGTTAAGGGACTTAAGCAGGATGCCGTGATTGGTCTTCAGAACACCACCCACGCGGTTCAACTGACGGGAGGAGAAAAAAAATAAAGGAACTGTTGAAACAGTTCACAGGAAGTAACAGCTACAACTACGACAACTACAGAAATGACTGAAATGTCCCTTTTGTCCCTGGTGGAGGTCTGTTCAAGACCACAGCAGGATTCTGGTTTGACGACCAGCGTTCCCAAAGACTATCCAGACTATCTCTGAGTGAAATACCCAAGTACTCCTCCGCTGACACGTCAGGAGGAACCGATGACGTAGAACGGTTCTTCAGGTTTGAACATTCCCAGAATAATAGGGAGAACTCTTGACTCTGCAGAGGTTAACTGATAAGGGTGGTCTACCTGATTAGGGTGGTCTACACTGAGGAAGTTCTAAACCGTGGCCTGTGTTTGACCTGAGTTCCTCACCACTTTCCTCTTCCCTTCCCTCTGGAAGAGCCACTTGACGGAGGCCTGAGGCGAGCGAGGCTGACACTCCAGGAAAGTGCTGCTGCCCTCCACTCCAAACTGGACCGTTTCTCTGAGACGTTTCTCCACTGCGGTAGAAGAACAGCGGAGACGCAGTACGTGGTATGAAATATGTGAAACATATATTTAAAAAAGGAAAAACCCAAGTGGTTTTAAGGTAAAGTAAAAAAAAACCTTTGGCGTTGAACCCTCTGCACTGCCTCAGCGGGTCGCCGTGTTTCACATCCTGTCTCCTGCTCCTCCTGGGTCAGAGGTCAGAGTTAATAAAGAAGCTGAGTCAACAAGTCCAGCAACAGTGTACTGAGCAGCTAAGAGACGACCCCTGACCTCTTGGTGGACGGGGTGAAGGCGGAGCAGCTCTCGCCGTCCCAGGCGCAGTAAGGGTCGCGGGCCAGGCAGCAGTCGGAGCAGGCCCGGCCGTACGCACCGCAGCGGTGCAGCGACACCTGGGTCAGACCCGCGTCTGACGACACGTACAGTTGTTGCTGCGGAAACAATCGTAAATCAGTGAAACTGTCAGGACTGAGAGAGTGTCTGTATATGCAGACGACTGTGTTTTTACTCTTTTGGACGAGATCTTCATCGTTTTGACCGGAGCTCTCGTCTGTTAACGAAAAAGAAAAAAACAGAACCAACAATCAACTCTTTTCTTCATCATATGAATATATTTAAATGGTTTCACAAAGATTTATTTTTAATCGTACCCGGAAAACCTCAACTTCCTCTAAAGTCAGTTCCTCCATGCTGACTGGGTCCTTTGGCAAAACAATCACTTTTTGCACAGTTCCACGATCTGAACAAACACAGAGAAACCTTTGATTTTCCCTCCAAAATTAAACATGGAAATCACCGCGGTCTGTGTCTCACCTGTCCCCAGGAAGAGCACCTCATACCGTCCATCAACAGCATCCACCTGGTCCACCACCAGGGCAGTGAACCGGTAGTCCACGCCGGTTCTTACCACCAGGGGGCGGCGGTGGATAGGATATACTGGATTGAACATGAGAGGATGGGATCTGATGAAATCCACAGCCTCATCTGAGAAGTTCTTGGAGGAGAGGATTCCTGGAGTGAAGGTTCCTCCTGGACACTGGACGAAAGGTGGATAAAAATAAGGTGCAGCTTGTTTGTGTACATGTTATTACTGCGTTATTATCGGGAGTGAAGCCTACTGTTCCGGGCCTTGGGTAGGGAATCTTGCCCATGTACTCGGTCCACTGATAATTGTGCCCGTGTTTGTGGGCAAACGGTCCGTTGAAGACATTGCGGATGTCGGCCATGGAGTAGACGCAGACGGCTGAGCCCTTGAACACAGAGCTAAGACAAAGGACCATCGTTCACGTCAATAAATCTACGAACTTCACACGTTTCATAACCCGTAAAAACTCACCCCGCTGTGGTGAAGAGTGCGTACACCATGGGGTTCCGTTCGTCCTGTGTGGGTTGGATGAACACGTCGCCTGGAAGAGGAACGGAACGAATCAATAATCCTGTCAAAAATCAGTCGAGCCGACGACCAATCAACCTCTGGGTAGAGTCAGGATCAGGATCAGGATCAGGATTGGGATCAGGATCAGGATCAGGATTGAGATCTTTTTTTTTGCTAAATACATTTACACATACAGGAGGTTTGACCTTGTTTATTGGTGCGGTGTGTAATTAGTGTAAAATAAAAAGCTGAAAATGAAGAATGAAAGAATCGAACCAATCGTACGGTAGCATAAAATTAATCGGGACCGATCAGGATTAATCGCAATTAATTTGTGATTTTTAGCTCTTGGTGCATCATGAAACAAAAACTTTACCGCAGTGTGTTCAAATAACAACATGTATGGAGTGTGTATTAGATTAATGATCGACCTTGTTCAAATAACATGTGATGGAGTGTGTATTAGATTAATGATCGATGAGCGGACGGTGGAATTATTGGACGTAGCATGTGCTAGGAGTTCAACTAACATTTTTACTTTTGACAGTCCAAAAAAATAACATAAACAAAGTCGGGACTGAAATGGTCGTGCGTGAGGGAGGTGCTTCCCAAAGTGTGGGGCAAATCCCTCATATGGGACGTAAAAATGTATCTGTGCCACAGTGGGAAACACGGAGCTGGGTTTGATTTATTGTCTGTGTTCGGTGTGAAGCGGGTGGAGTAACCACCGGTTACTGTAACGTGAGCTCACGTAGTTCATCAAAGCGCGTCTCCACTCCGTCGTCTCCTATCACCGAGCAGATGAGACGAGCCTTCAGGAACGTGGTCCAGCGGTTCACCAGGGACTTCTGCCCCCCTTCGTCGTTCTACGGAGGCAGGAAATGAGGTCATCGTTTCATGCCTGTTATATGTGTGTCACGTCGGACGGTAACACTGTGTACTTTTCACAATTACTACAACTACTACGACTACTGCTGGTGCTGCTGTTAGTACAGCTCGCTGGCTCTCACCAGACACACCCTTCCGACCCGAGCCAAAACGATGGGGCTGGCCCCGCCGCTGGAGTCCAGACTCTTCTCACGAAAGAAGAAGTAAAGTTTGTCGTCGTTCTTTTCTGCGCTGTCGGGGATCTGCTGGATCTGAATAAACACAGGCTCTGGGGGATAAACACAGACGAGCCGGCAGAGGGTTTAGGGAAGTGGTTGTCAAATAAAATGAGAGGAGCGTCAACCTGTAATCAGTCACATCTAACCCCCCCTCCCGACCCCCCCGTCCGGAGTTACTCACCGTTGAGCCACCTGGAGTCATACTGCTCCGTCCTGATGGCTGTCCTCCCCCCCATGGTCCTAAACAGAGCAGCGTCTGTGCTCATGAAGTCGATGTGGACCCCGGCATAGAGGTTACCATCTACAGAGACACAGGGACACAGGGACAGGGACACAGGGACACAGGAGACCAGAGGATTCAGGAGACGCCGACGCCGACGTGGCAGCAGATGTGAACACGTTGTGTGAAACTTTTGGTCTTACTGATTAGAAGTGCGACGTTCTCCTGCGTGGGATCATAGGAACACTTTCCCTTCCCTGAGTCCACATACCCTGGGACTAGTCTGAACAGGTAGTCCTGCAGATACGAGAGAACGCATGAAAATAGGCCGCGAAAGCGCCGCCTGGGAGCTTAAGAACATTATAAACAAATCCCTGTCCCAGTTTGTGGTCCTTAAATATTTAACAGGTCAGACTGTAGGTTTGTCAGGTCTGCTGTTGGGGGAGGAGGAGGGGGNGGGAGGACGAGGGGGAGGAGGGGGAGGACGAGGGGGAGTACTGCAAATCCCACTCAGGGAGCTGTAAATGTCTGCGGGGGGGGTTACCTCTGCCCTCCAGCCTCGGTTGATGAATGTGCAGATAGGCTGGTACGCCCCGGTGCCACAGCTGTAGAGGTGGGTGCGGTTCCACGGTTCAATCAACCTCACAAAGTTGGCACATTCACCCTGGACGAAGAGGAGAGCGAGAAAAAAGGGATTCAAACGCCGTCACCGTTACATCTTGAAAGCAGAAGTCGGGTTTCTTTTTTTTTTTAAAGAGCAGGATGTGAACGGATGATCCCACCTGTCTTCCCTTTCCTGTCATCTGGCATTCTCCCTTTCTCTTCGCCGACGCCGGCCAGTGGATCTGTTTTGTATTTTTTTTCAGAATCACACAAAACCTCAGGATTACTGAGGATCAATGCACTAAGAGCCTTAAGGCCACATTCCAAATAGCAGACTGGATTTGAGAGAATTGCAAGTGAGCAGATTGTGTACGCACTATGAGCGGCTCCTTGTTGACATTTTGCATGTCCAGGGCCACCAGGTACTCGCGGCTGCCCAGGTAGAGGCGGCCCTGGTCCTGGTCCATATGGAGGATGCGGTAGTCGCTGGTGTTGAAGGAGAAGCTGAAGGGACGAGCGGCTCGTGTGTCCATCAGTTCTGTGCAGGTGGACAAAAAAACAAATACAAAAAAAAACATTTACTTAAACTTGTAAACTTGCCACAGTAAACAAGACGTTCGATGGAACTTACACAAATACGGCTGAATACGGTTTCTTGAAGTCTGAGTGAAATTGAACTTTTACACAAATGGATACGGTTTCTTGAAGTCTGAGTGAAATGTTGGTAACGTTAAAAACAGAGGATTGATCACAGCTGGAATCTGGAGCCTTTACCTTTAAATGGTAATGAGACACTGCAGGCTCCGCCCACCTCTTTCTGAGGACGGCTTCCTGTATCAATAGCTGCCGATAAATCAGCAGATTCTACCAGATACATGCAACAACACTACCTGTGTATGTGCTCATAGACACGTGGGTAGTGTATGCCACTCTGACAGGTATGATAAACTGACAGGATACCGGACTGAAAACTGCAGTCAATTCATATGTGTTTGATCCAGGATCAAAGTGTAAGGTCGAGGGTGAACCAGGATGTTCGTCAGGGGTTTGTAGTTAAGTTTGTTACTTGTTACTACTGATTATATGTCAACCAGATTTGTACGACGGCAATGACCGTCTCCCCCTGGTGTTGTTGAGTTGTTGGAGATAATCAATATCTCTTTATTTAAATATTTGAATGGTTAAGTTTGTTGATGTTTATATGTAGAATAATCAGATTTGTACAATAGGTAATGATCAACTTTTGTCTATTTTTTGTCAAAAAAAAATGACTACCTTGGTGTCAGGTGTAGTAACTGGACACTGATATACGTCGAGACTTTATGATCTAAGACTTTCACTGTTACACACTCCTGTGATTAGGACTGTGTTTTTTATAACTGTAAAAAACAGAAAAACATTAAGTTAAAACGTCGCGTTCAAATTTCTACTTGACCACTAACTTAACTCTCAAACTTCTCCCTCCGACGGTGGAAAATATCTGCCAGTTCCACCGCTCGTATTTTAGGAAACGCGTCGGCTTTTAAGAACTGAATATTTCATGTGCCCTGACGTGAGGCACCACACGGCGCTGGACCAAAGAGCCGGTCCCCGAGGAAACACGGTCAGTGGAACTAACAGCTGATTCTTCTAGGACCGGGACTGCGTTCAGCAGAGCATGACTGGTTAAGACCAGCAGTCATGGAAAACTCCCCTCTCCTTCTTTTTGTTCTGCTGAGAGCTTAGATTAAACAATATTCACTCGCTTCAAGTCACATGGCCTCTTCCATCGCCGCTCCTCCGTTCAGCAGTTCAAACTAACACGCACACACGTTTGTGGCATGTGTAGAACATCGACAGCCGCCTGTGCACACTGGGACACGGTGGAGGCATGTTAAAGACAGCGGGCTTATGTCATGACAAATGTTCACAGACGTCCTCGGAAGCCCGGCTTACAGGGATTGGAGAGGAAGCGCAGCCTTTATTTACATCAAAGTGCCTGCCATCCCTGATTTGAGGTCAATGTTAACAGGATGTCGTCAAGGTGCCACTAAAATAGGCGATGCAATCGGATCTCCGGACGCCACGGGACGGAGCCGCGGACGCAGGACCGAGGTCCGGTTCTGTTCCTGAGAGGTAAACACAGGATAACGCGTCCGTGTGCGATCTCCAGCAGGCCACAGTGAATTCAGTCAAGAGGCTAAATGTGGAAACGCCACACCCCGATACATGTCTTCAATCTCCAAAAATAGCAAACAATGTCCCGCCGTCATCTGGTAAACATTCAGCAAACTCTGACGGTGAGGGGCAAACACTGGGGGGGAACCTTTGGTCGCTACCAGCGGCCTTCGTGCCGCACACGGTCACGTTGCAGCGTACGTCGTCACCGGGTGACGGCGTCACCGTGGTATGAGATCCTCAAACGAGGCTAAATTTACTCCACGCGCTTTGCTCTCTAGCAATGCTGAGTAACTGTAACCGACACAGAGTCGCTCCCGGGTAGTGTTTGAGGAGAAACATCCTCTTCACGACAGAGGAAACAATACCAGATATCAATCCAGGCCAGGCCTCCTGCACCCTGAGCGGGGTCACTGCGGCCGACTCATTCGTTCTGAGGGGTCACATGTCCTCCAGCCTCTCCCCTGTTCCTCCTCCTCTGCAGGCGCCTCGGGGAACAATGAAATTCCCTGTTACCAACAAGGAACAATAAACCCTCAGAGCAGCAGAAGCGTGGAGGAGTGATCGAACTTCTTCTCCCTCTTGTCTGGTGTCGAGGGGCTGCTGGTGGGGGTCCGTGAATCGCAGATTACAGGCTGATAATTTCGCCGCGCTCAGCTGTTTTAAATGAGTTCCTGCAGATCCATTTGTCACGGAGCGAGATCTGCGCACATGTGAATTCCTGCGTCTTCTCCAGCGGTGAATGTGATTAAGATCAAGACCGAACTTGAACTTGACTGGAGCTGCTGCACGATGGGAGCGGGGATTAGGGTCAAAGGTCGTATAAACGCACTTCACGAGCTTCGGCTGGATCCCCCCCCCGACCAAAAACACAACTACACGGTGACCCCAGCTGTCGGGGGCTGTTAGTCACACGTCTCATGTTCACACATGAGCCAGGGATCTGGGGGACATGTCCGACGTCCAGGAAAAATAAAAATAAATCAGAGACATTTGTGTTTGAAAGAGACATTATGATTCGTTAGCTTTCATACAGAGGGAGGGGTTTTTTAGGACAATATTTCTGAATATAAGTCGCATGGTGCAGAGGTGGTTAGTGTTCTTGCCTTACAGCAGAACGTGACGTGTTAGAACCCAGTTTTTATCACAGCGTTGTCCTGGGGATCAGGGTTAATTGTTGACTCCTCATGGACCAGAGGTGTGAACGGTTGATTGTTTGGTCCCCCAACCATCTCTCCTCTGAGTACTACGTAGTACTAGAAGATGAATGAGGGAACTAATACCTTCTCATCCACCACCACTACTCGGAGTACTACATAGTACTAGAAGATAAATGAGGGAACTAATACCTTCTCATCCAAATACTTGTTTGTTCACCTCTCGATCCAGTCTCCTGAGTTAAGGCCACATTCCAACTGGAGTGGATATGAAAGTGTGAACCTTGTGCGTTCATCGCACTCTGGTTCGTACCGTGGAAGGCCAATCATTTTAACCTTGGAATGTGACGTACGCTTTCTGTGACTTTGACTTTGTTTGGTGTCGACAGTTGAATTTTTCCATCATGAAATATGTGCCGTGACTCCACAGAGGTTGGGAAACACAACCAGATTTCCCATCCTCCCTGCAGTACCAACTTTGACCCCCAGGGAACCCTTTTGGAGACCCTGTGTTCTAAGTCATTAACTCATATTCAGTGATCCGACGTATTTGTGAGTTCCTCATACCTACAGTTCTGAGGATGAGTCGAACAGGTTGAAATACGTCAAACACCAAAGACCAGGGTGTCCAAGTCTGGACCTGATCTGGGACCAGGACTCAGCTGCACATCAAAGCCACGAAGAATTCTAAAAACGTGATTTAAACCTTTAATTCACTCTGACAGATACCTCAGGTGTGTGAGAATTATGACAGAGACACAAAAACAACAGTAATCATGCAGCTCAGTCTCGATCAAAAGCTTCTTCTTCTTATTTGTAAGTCAAATCTCTGCCATTACGGTGAATTAGGGCGGTGGCAGACGGTGCCGGGGAAACTCCCTAAAAAAAGACACCAGCTCCACGTTGAATTAACACCTCGCGGCCAAAAAGTTCTCCTTCTCAAACAGGACTCGTACCCAGGCGCTCGGGTTTCAGGTGCGTCTCTGCGGCGCGGTGAAGTCAGACGTCAAACACAAAGAAGAAGCTGACAGGTCGGAGACCATGTGCGTGTAGGTTTTAAGGGCGTGGGGAGGGTACTTTTGTCGAGGGGCACTAGAAGAATTCAACCCCACGTAATATCCACCTTTTGTTTTCACCGCTGCCCTGTTTGACATGCGGCAGGAAGTCCGTTCTTCACATATGTACAGAGAGGAAGTGTCAGCGGCGTGAAGACTCGCCAGAGGGGAAACACTGCACAAGTGTGTGTTTGTGTGTGTAGTGGTGAGTTAAGGTAACCTAACCAGGTAAAAGACCAGCGTCTGCTGCCGTCACTGGTGTCAGTCGGTCGGTCGGTCGGTCAGTCTCACCTTTGAAGGAGAGATGAACCCGCGGTGCCGACGGCTGCAGGCCTGAGCCTCTGTAAACACACAGGGCTAACAGGAGGAGCTGGGCTCCAGATGCTGTCATGGTAACAGTCATGCAGGTAGCCAGCCAGAGATCTAAATCTGGAAGAAAAAGAAAAGAGGAATGAACTATTATTACAGAACGCCCCGCAAGAAATATGAGACAAAGGAAGAATGAAGAACAGACAAGAGACTCTCTCTCTCTCTCTCTCTCTCTCTTTCTCTGCCTCTGATCCCAGGGATCAGAAGGTTGGCCTGCAGCCGTCTGCAGACAGAGCCACTCTGTAGTTTGGCAGCAGAGACACAGAGTGAGAGACAGATAGAAAAAAAAACAGGTCCAGATCTTAACACCTGCTCTGTAAAAATCTGACAACCCTATCATTTATTTAAAGTGTAACTGTGGAGCGCTGTGTGTTACGACTGTAAAACCTCGTTTGTTAGCGCGGTCATGTGTGGACGAGTCGGAGGAACGAGACGCGTGTCTGGTTGATGTCTCGTCCACATATTTTTTTTTTTTTTGGAGAGAAATTGACTCAAACGAGGCCCTGGTGGCCGCCGGTGGTATCCACCGACAGCGTCCAAGAAAACAAAACTACGAAAAAAAAAAAAAACCCGCACACCTTTGTTCTGTGAGGAGCTGTCGGATTAACGTGACAGTTCAAAGACACAGGTAACTCCTCAGCGAAACTACTCCTGACAATTCAGGAGGCGCTGAGAGGCGTCCTAACTGTCGGACCTTAACTCCACATTCATTATGGATCTGCACTCTGCCGCAGAGAATCCCATCTAAATTATGAATACTAAAAGCTGAGGCCACAACATCCATTAAATTGTCTCCCTTCAGGTGAGCTTTGCTGGGGAGATAAACCTTCCCCGGGGCTTTTCTCTGACTTCTCATGTCAACCGTGGAGCCCAGGGCTGTGGGTGCAACTCCTAACAAGGGGTTTGAGGGAAAGACAAGGCTGGGAAAAGAGTGGCTAAAGGTCAGGGGCCAGTCATCGAAGGACTGACGGTTCAAATCCCAGGTTCTCTGAGGCTCGAGTATCTTAAGGAACCGTCAAAAACTCTCGCACTGCCTAGGTGCAGAAAACTGCATCACAGCTCCCGTTTTACCCTCCATATATGTAGACGCTACGTGTATTTGTATAAAAAATATATTTCAAAATTTCAAAAGTATGCTTCTCATAAATTCTCCATAAGTCTATAAAAGTATCAGGATGGAATTGGACTCTGTTCCTCCCTCACCGCACACACACATATACCCACTATATATGTCTGTTAATGTCACATATACTGTATGTCACAACACATAACATATATGTCTGTTTATACCAAATATATGTCATAACACATAACATATATGTCTGTTCATATCACATGTCATAACACACACCATATATTTCTGTTAATATCACCTATGTCACAATACACAACATATGCCTGTTTATACCAAACATATGTCATAAATACATAACATATATGTCAGTTATATCACGTATATGTCATAATACATAACATATATGCCTGTTCATATGACATATATGTCACAATACATAACATATATGTCTGTTCATATGACATATATGTCACAATACATAACATATATGTCTGTTCATATGACATATATGTCACAATACATAACATATATGTCTGTTCATATGACATATATGTCACAATACATAACATATATGTCTGTTCATACCAAATATATGTCACAATACATAACATATATGTCAGTTATATCACATATATGTCATCTCGCCCACCTGATCACTCAGCCAGTGTGTACATTTGTTACCCATATGGGTTCAATTGGCCTGTATGGCTACTGGCAAATTATATGGGCTACATATGGTTACCACAGACCATCCGCATATGGGAGATTTGCATGTGGCCCATATGGAACTCGTGAACACACCTTTTTAGCCAACTCTTCTGCCAGCTTTGAATTTTTGGAGACGACTGCCAAAAAAAAAAAAAAAAATTTTTTTACTGCTTTACTTTGGATATCAAATACCTCTGCTGTACTTTTTGTGTCGACAAAAATGACTCGATACTTGTTTTTGTACTCGTGTTGTATCTGGGTGAAATACTTTCTCTACTTGTACTTTGGTGTACTGTCAAACCTCTGGTGTATTACATGTACAAATACAGGTGTTTATATTTATGACGTGATCTATTTATGTCGGGTTGATCCTAGAGAGAGTGTTTACACTGTTAATTAATAACACGTCATTAGGATGAAGACACAAACATCACCTCGGTGTAGGTTTTCCTGCTGGAACAAATTAAAATATCACACAGTATAATTATCCCGTGCCCGAGGCTGTGTGTGTATTTGTACACAGCTGTACTTTGTGGTATCTGACATGATGTACCCTGATGTTTCAGTGTTGGCGGTAACGACCAACTCCCGCTGTAATAATACGTGGGCTTTCTTCTCTGTTTCAACCAAAAATAATGAGAGGGATTTTTTCTAACAACCTCGTTCTGCGGGAGCGCGCACTCACCTGAGAACTCCAGTACACAGTAACCCAGACTAGTTAACTAGTTAACTAGTTAAAAGTTAAACCGACGGAGGGAGAACTTGAACGTCTCACCTTTGTGATTTCTCTGTGTCACCACAGCAGGCTGACGCGTCTCCGGGGCAAAAAGGTGCGCGTGGTTTGGCCGCTACATTCCGCGCGTTATGCGCCACAGAGATTTAAATCAAATTGGAGAATTATCTGTCGGTAAACGATTAAAAACAACCCGGTTTATTTTCGATATTCCTTCTTTTTGGACTAATCGGAACTGGTCGATCTTCCCCGCTCACTGTATCACTTCCATGTCACAATAGTTGATAGTAATGAAGAACAGGACTCCGCTGGTCCTCTGGTTCCGCGCTCTGTCCAAAAGTTTGACGCCGCGGACATCAAGCCTGATGGAGAGAAGACGCAAAACTGTCGGAGCGCCGGTGCTCGAAGACGGTTCGGTTGTGAATCGAGGACCTGGTGCAGGTGGTAGAAGAGCGACTGCCCTGCTGTCCTCTCCCTTCTACTCTGCCCCCACCCAGCCTTCCCTCTCCCGTTGGCCCGCAGCAGCAGCTTTGCACCAAGCCTCTCCGTGCGCCATGTGGGTGTGATTAACCCTTCACGGCCTGATCAGCCAATCACAGCCGAGCACTGATTGGTTGATGCGCTGCTCAAATGTATCACTCTGATCCTGTGATCCTGGAAATATTTTATTTATTCTAATCTAGTGGTTCTCAAACTATGGTTTGCATGCCGCACGGTGTACTTGGGCTCCCTCTAGTGTAGGGGTTGGTAACTGTCAATACCAAATAATAATGTTAATAATTTTTAAGTAAAAGAAAAATCGTCAAGAGCTGCAAATGTATTTGATACTACAGTGAATGAAGTTTTAAATACTGCGATCATGTTACAGAATAAACACACGATAATGTTATGACGATGAAATAAAATTCCGACGTTTGTGTTGAAACAAATGTAAGACCTGAACTTAGGTTAAAGAGCACAGTGACGTCATGTTGTTTTCCTGGTAATGAGCTGAATAAATTATAAAGAGTTACATGTTAAATGGACTCTTAGTGAAATAAAAACAGACAGTGAAAGGTCAGGGCAGAGGTCAGGGCAGAGGTCGGACCCTGCTCTACTGAGGATTAACATGAGGCTCACCAGCCGCAGGTTGAACACCTCTGCTCTGGTTGTGTGTGAGGGATCGATTTCTGTTGGCAAAACAGTGGAGGTAGATAAAACGTCCTAACGTCTGCTTTCTTAATCCCTGTCCGGGAGGGGACGGGGGGCGGGGGGAGCTGGAGACCGTCCCAGTCTTCCACAGGGACGGGGTCCAGCCCGAAGAGTTCTGGCCCGGTCCATCACTGGGCCACATACAGAAGGGAGAACCCAATCCTGCATGTTTATGGAACGTCGCAGGAAAACAGAGTCAATTATTTTTTACTCATTTCTTTCATCAGCAACCGATCGTAGGACTTGGTGGCATTTAGCCCAGAGTCTTCTAGTGGCAGATAGGGGGTACTGCAACCGCACTACTCTAGCCCCAGAAGAAAGAGTACCTGGAGAAAATGTTACTCCATATTAGGGCATTAATGACGTCCGATTATTTTTCGTTTTTAGTCGAGGGGGAATTACACGTTGACCATGTATCGTTCCATACATCACTACAGTAGTTTTTGTGAATCGAGAGAACACAGCGACCAGTTTGAGCCAGAGGTCAAGAGTGTGTTGGTACACGAGCAGAAGAAGAAACATGGAATACTAACTCAAATACTCCAGTCATAGCTCCAAACGGTACTTCACAAAAATGAGTTAATGGGAACCGTGAGGAGAACGTCAACATCACAGGCAGCGCTGCAGATATTCAAATCAGAATTCCATTTAAGTGCCAGTTGTAGTACTACTTCAGCATAGTACTACTTTAGCATAGTACTACTTCAGCGTAGTGTGAAGTATGTCTTCACCTGATGAAGATAAGTAAACATTCTTCTTCTTCTTCAGCTCAGATCTGCTGTGTTTTCATGTTGCTCATAATGACGCCACCTCCAGAGCCAAATACTTTCGAGGTGGAACGCGATGCGGAAGGTTTGAGAACCATTGTCATGAATATTTCAGCCGAGGCGAGACGGGTTCACGGCCGCTGCTCCCTGCATGTTTTTCCCACGCACCATTGAAATTCACTTTTCAAAGAAGCCGGAGCAGAGAAGGTCTGCTACGTGGACCATGTCACCATTACTTTTCAGCTCTTCATGAGAGCCAGGTCAGGCGAAAAGGATTCCAGGGATTCCTGCGTGGCTGGGCCCAGCACTCATGACAACGGTGACAAAGCAGGCCGAGCGGGGGGGGGGGGTACGTTAAAGGACACCCATCCTGTTAACACCGTCGTGAGCTTGACATTAAACCAACTCCCGGAGCTGTGTCGTCACGGCAGGCTTTGTGGTGAGTCCTGACGCGGCACGGTGCCCTGGAGTCACAGAGGCAGGGGGTGAACGTGCCCCGAGGACCGAGCACTGACTGCAGGTCAGTACAATAAAATAAACACACGAGGCAGCGGTGCGTC